TATTTATGCATTAAAACATTGATGGACATTGATATTGCTATTGTGAGATTATTACAGATAACATTGCTAAAAATGTTATAGATATATTTATATAGAAAATTTACTAAGGAATAGAATTGCTGTGTCAAAATATGTATGTAACATGAGTTTTAGTAAATACCACCAGTATACCTAAATGGTTATACCAACATACACTATTATCAGAAAACTATGGAAGTTTCCATTCTTCTACACCTCCCCAGCAAATGCTATTGTTAGTCTTTTAAAATCTGTCAATGCTGATATTTTATGCCAGTTTTTGTTTGCATGTCTGATAATAGAGAGATAAGAAACTTTTCAAATGTTCATTGGACTTTTGGATATCTTAATTGTAATATGCCAGTTCAGGCATTTTACTGTTTTCTCTTGGGTCCTTATTGTTTGGAGGAGCCCATCATACATAAAATATTTTGTCAGCTATGTATATTGCAAGTATCTTCCACACTGTGACTTGATTTACTTGTATCTCTTGATGAATGTAACTGCTTAATTTTAACATAGTCCAATTTATCAATCATTTATATTTTTTCATTTTTTGTGTCATTTTAAATTTCAATATTTTCTTCTTGGTACCAATGTGTAGGGGACTGACATATATTTTCCTAGTTTAAGAATTAAAGTTAGTGAGTAATGTATGTGTTCTGCCCAGAGCGTTTGAAAGTAATCTGTTCCAGACAGGCTCCCTGTGATAAACAAAGGTGTTTCCTAGAGGCATAACAAAGGACCTGAGTTGCCAGTAGCAAGAGCAGCCCCACCCCATGGCATTGGGGGTCTGGAGGCCACATGACAAACATATTGTTCCTGTGATTGCTGCGTATAGCCCATAAGATGGCTGGTTAGTCAATGGCGGGTAAGACCCCTCAAGGGAAGGGCGACCTAAGCCAGGCACAGTCGCCGGGTTCAGCCGAAGATCTTAGGGGATCACCCTAAGAGAAGCTGGGGATGAGAAATGCCCCCTGTGGCTCACCTTGCCCATCCTTGCTAATCTCAGTCCTTTATCTATGCCTAGTGCCTAGAGCAACCACCTTAAAATTCTGAGTCAGGGGATATCTGCTTCCCTAAGGCTACACTTTCCGGAATTTATGGCTATCGCTGCCATGCCTGGGTGCTTATGTGAAAGGACCTAACTTTAATCTTTTAGAGTATAAAAATAAAACTGACCCGGCGTATTATTACTCGAATCAACCGTTTGTACGTGTGTCTGCATTTTTCTTTGTGTTCTACATTTGTGTTTTATGTTCTGTGTTCATCCTCTGTCCTCTAAACGGGTCATGACACCAATGCCACACTAGCTCTATGAAAATCTTAGTATTGAGTAGTGTACTTTCTCCAATTTTGTTCTTCATGCTTAGTTTCCAGATGTATAGAGACTTTAATTATCTTTTCGTTATTACTGTATAGCTTAATCCACTGTCCTCAGAGAATATGTGAATGATTTTAATCTTTTTGAATTTCCTTATGCTCCAGCATTAGTAAATATTGGTAAATGCTCATAATTGAAAAGAGTGTTTACTTTGGTACTATCTTTATACAATATTGTTTATATAACAATTAAATCAAGGTTGAAAGGATTTTCTGTATCTTTTTATAGATCATTTTTGATATTTTTTCTTGTTTCTATATCAGTTGCTGAGGGAGTTGTGTTAATTTCTTCCACAATAATTGGCTACTTGCTTATTATTCCTTTTATTATACTTAAATTTTGCTTTATGTGGTCTCAGAATATATTATTAGACACATACATTTAGATGTGTGAAATTTTCTTTGTGGATTTGATCTTTTATCATTATGAAACATCCTTCTTTGACTCTTGTAAGGTTTCTTATTTTAATATCTAGTTTTTATAACATTAGCATAGCTATGCTTGATATTTTTAAGTTAGTTTTGCATTGTATTCATTTTCTATCCAATTACTCTCAGTAATTCTTGTTCCAATATTTAAGATATATCTCTTCTAAGATTATATAGTTTTTAATTATCTGTCATTTTTTCTTTTAGGTAAAATGCTTATTCCACTAAAATTTAAACTAATCCATAATATATTAAGGGTTAAATATATCATCATATGTTCTTTCAATTTGTTACACCTGGTCTACTTTTTATAGCACTCTTTTTACAGTACTTATTAATAACCAAATTTATTTTAGTACATGTTATCTTCCTTTAGATATTTTTCTTTCTTTTTTTTTTAAAAAGCATGCTTTTACTATCTTGTTAGTGGTTAGCTTAGGGGGCACAATATTTTTCTTTGATTTACTTGAGCCTAATTAAAATGGTTAATTTCACCACTTCCCAGACAGTGGAAGCATTAGAAAATTTTTCTTTGTTTATTGCCTCCACATTCTGTTATTTTGTCATATATTTTAGTCCTACATATCTTTTAAAAGCTTTAATGTATTGTTATTTTTGTAGTTTTATAATATTAGTATTCATTGAGAATAACCCTGCTGGTATTTTCTTTTTCTTTCTTTCTTTCTTTCTTTCTTTCTTTCTTTCTTTCTTTCTTTCTTTCTTTCTTTCTTTCTTTCTTTCTTTCTTTCTTTTTTTGTTTTCAAATTATTCTTTAAAGGATGCTTTCACTGTGAATAGAATCCTAGTTTGGCATTATATTTACTCATTTATTCATAGATATCTTTTCGATGTCTTCTGCCTTTCATCAGTTCTTTTGAGAAGTCAGTCATCTTCCTTATTTTTGCTCTTTTGAATTTAATATGACTTTTGAATAGGCTGTTTTTAAATGGTTCCCATCTTCAGTGTTGGAGTTCAATTTTGAGAGTATTTTTTGTCTGTACTTTCTAGCCTACAGGGCAGACAGGCTTCAGCTACAGGACAAGACAATTAAATGATCTTAAAAACAGCAAATGATCCTGTAGAACCAATCGCAAATTACAACTTGTTGTCACATGGTAATATAATTTGGATTATATACATGGCTTAGTTTTGATCATTCTTCTCTGATAGGTTTATAGCTTTTCTCTGATACTCTTGGGAATAGTGGAAGTGGAGAATCAGACTTAAACAGATGAATCTGGTTTCCCATACTGAGAAGTGTGTAAGGATCACAAACAAATGTTATAACTGAGTCCTTGTGGAAATACAAAGGAGCCACCTTGTCTTGTCTGAATTATGATTCAGACGAATTGAAGCAATTAAAGGAATAACAAATAGGAAGATGTTTAAATGCTAGGTGCTGTATTTTGTGTTTTAATTATTATTTATTTTATGTAAAAATTATTTATGAAGTCTTTTGCTTTACAGAGGAGGAAACTGAAATTCAGAATTATTTATAATTTATAAATTTTATTTATTTATTTTTTATAAGTCATAATTTTATAGGAATAACTAAGCAGCAAGTGATGAAATCAGGATATTCATAGCTGTATTATTTGAATCTCCATAGTTTTTTTTTCTTTTGTAAAGCTTACAGAACCTAACAGAGATCATTTCTATAACAAAAAATATATTTTATGTACAAACTAATATTGACAAGATGTCATTTGGAAATATTAACCAATAACTTCTCTAGATTTGTTCTCTAAAACTTTGATCTCCAAATTCTCTTCTATATTTTAATCTCTTAAACTATCTTAAGCCTTGCTCATTGTTTATACTACCTCAGAGATGGCATGTTACCATGGACCTAGGAGGCATGATTCTGTTTTTTGAATTTGATAATTAAATGTCCTCTTCCCTTGGAGAATGGAAGCTATTTTGTGACTTCATCAAAAGACTTAGGTGGATATATGTTATGGTAGGAATAAAACCTCACTTTCAGTGTATGTCAGGATACCCCACGTGGAGTCAAAGAAGAAATGATTATACTGTAGGTATCGGCAAGACTCAACCCCAAAAGATCCCAATCTCCCTTTTTCAACCTATCAGGCCAGAAAGGCAGCAAAAATCCTAGAAAACCTGGTGAGATGTGAGAGCCTAGGGACTAAGCTAAGCAAGTGTGGGGAATAAGTATTCCTCCTAAGAAATGATGAGTGTTACTGTGCCTGAACACTTAGGACATTAGAAAACCCTAGTAAATTTTCTATTGCTGAGAGGTAGCACAGGATTTTTGAAATGTTTATATGCTCAAGTGAGTTCAAAAGTATGAGAGTGTGCCACTGAAACTAATGGACCTTTGACTATCAAAACAGGGGGGCAACACTTTAAAGATCTGCTTGGCTTGTCAACAAAAGACATTGTAAGAGATATCACGGGGCACAGTATGGAATAAATGACTTCCCTACCATCCCCCAACCGCAGGAAGTAGTAACACTACTCCAGGAAAAGTTGCTGGAGACCTTGATGATTTTATTACCCTCACTGATATATGTATATATGTAAATACATAAACATATATACTCACATGTATATCATATGCACACAGAATGTACAGAGAAAAACTTTGGGGAAAATAGTTTAGCACATAAAAATTGTGGTCTATAAATCTGTTGTGTAAAAAATAATTTTCTATATAAATGTGAATATAAACTATATATATGTAAATATGTAAATATGCACATACACACACATATACACACATTCATATATACACATACGTGTGTATACCATTTTCCTAAAATAAGTTTGCCTATTGTATGGAGCTTCTGTCAACAAAATTGATTAGAGCTAGATAATTTTATGCTCATTTTATTAAGATAAAAGGGTGTTTTAAACACAATATCAAATGATTGCCTGATTATGCATAATTTGTATTTGCTTTCCTTTTTTTTTAGATTTATCATTCTCTTAAATAAGACTAAGGAACCAATAAACTGTCAAAAGAACCCCCGTCCCCCAGCCAAAGTACTAAGTACAAGCTTTCTTTAATTCAGCTTATAGAGATATTTCACCTCCAGACAGACTCTAGAGGTATTTTTATTGCTGGGTATCCAAATAACCCTTAATAACTCATTCTCCTCCATGAATACCACTACATACTTTCAATAAGATACTGTATACCTACTCACCTGTTTATTCAGTGAATATTTTCTGTTGGCCACTTGTCTACTCCATTTTATTTTGATGACTTGAAGGAATATTGTTCATTTGAACCTCCGTTCTAGCCACTCTTCTCCACCCTACTCTGAGGTTCAGATGCTGATCTGTGTAGACAATATCAGAACAGAACAAAGTGAGCAGTTCAGAGCTAGGATGTTTTGTAGGCTTCCTTTTGTATGTATTTAATTGTATGTAGCTTCTTAAAGGAGTTGGGCAGTGCTGGCCAAGAGCCAGGTATGAAGAGTGAGACTGTGATGTTATGTTTGTGCTGACCTTAAGGAAGTTTGGAGGTATGGAGCATTCCTTAACATCATTTCCCAGCACTGACCTACATTTGTGCTCCAACAGCTGTTTAGAAAAAACTGCCCATCTCTGAAACAAACAGTGTTGTTAACGGGGATTGCAGCCATTCAAACTCTTCAATGAAACTGAAGTTATGCCTTTAAAAGCAACATATATTCCTTTCTGACAGCTTATTTGCTTAAAATCTTAATCATATTTCTTTATGGTGGACAGCAAATGGCGTATGTGACCTGTTGACTACTATTAACCTTGCCTTTCATGACATCACAATAAAATACTCTGCCAAACACTATTGGCAAGTGGGAGGCAGGTGCAATGCTTGTCAGCCACCACATATGAATCATGAGTAGAAACAAGTATGAATAAAATAGAAATTTTCTATAGGATTAAATTGTAGGAAAAGAGTCAATCTTCTTTTGACAATTTTATACTGTCTTGCAAGCATATGGTCCCATAACAATTCTATATTTTGGAAGCAATGACTGGAAATGTCATTCAACAAACTGATGTCTTAAGCAATAAATAACTCCAAAAATACATTAAAAAGATAAAGGGAGAAGAATAGCAAAAAGTCAATGATCCCTGTAATTTGGTGGTCAGACACATAAAGTGTAGGCTTTCAACTTTCCTTTGAGAGCTTTGTCCCATAGATAGGAATTTGGCTTTATTAGAAAATGATGTACAGTGAGGAGCATACACCAGTGTCAACAAAAATGACCTTCAGGCCACCCAAATACAGCCAACAATGAAGATAGGAGGGAAAACAAAAAGAAGGGGGAGAAAACAGAGAGAGACAGAGAGGGAAACAAAATGGAAGGTAAGAGGAACAAAGAGAGGAGCTGTCAGGTCCTGTCCTTTTGAGAAGAGCTGTGTAGTAGTATGAAAATGATGTGAGGTTTTTCATTCAAAGCCCTGGGTTTGAATCTGCTCTCCACCCTTTACCAGCCAAGTATCCTTGAGAAAGTCACTTGAATTCCATGATCCTGATCTCTGCACCTGTTGAATAAGGTTAATGATATCTAGCACAGGTAGCGTGAGATACACACACGGAGCAGTACCTGACCCCCAATGTGGGCTGAATAAACGTTGACTTTTTGCCTAGGCCAATGTCTATAAGAGTTTTTCCAATATTTTTTTCTAAAATACTTAGAATTTCATGCCTTAGGTTTAAATCTGTTATCCACTGTGAGTTGATTTTTGTGACAGGTGTAAGGCGTGGATCCTGTTTCAGTCTTCTACATGTGGCTATCCAATTTTCCCAGCACCATTTATTGAATGAGGATACCTTTCCCCAGTGTATGTTTTTGTATGCTTTGTCAAAGATTAGATGGCTATATAAGGATAGTTTTATATCTGGGTTATCAGTTATGTTCCATTGCTCTATGTTTCTGTTCTTGTGCCGGTAACATGGTGTTTCAGTTACTATAGCCTTGCAGTATAGCTTGAAGTCTGGTAAATTGATGCTTCCCAATTTGTTCTTTTTGCTTAAGATTGTTTTTGCTATAGGGAATCTTTTATGAAGAAGACCCCAAAGGCAATCATAGCAACAAGAAAAATAAATAAATGGGACCTGATCAAATTAAAAAGCTTCTGCACAGCCAAGGAAACTATCATGAAAACAAACAGACAACCTACAGAATGGGAGAAAATATTTGCATGTTACACATCCGATAAAGGGCTGATAACTAGAATCTACACAAAATTCAGGAAAATCAGGAAGAAAAAAATCAAACAACCCTATCAAAAAGGGGGCAAAGGACATGAACAGAAACTTTTCAAAAGAAGATAGACTAATGGCCAACAAACATATGAAAAAATGCTCAACATCTCTAATCATCAGGGAAATGCAAATCAAAACCACAATGAGATATCACTTATCTCCAGTGAGAATGGCCTTTATCAAAAAGTCCCCATATGTAAATGTTGGCATGGATACAGAGAGATAGGAACACTCATACACTGCTGGTGGGACTGCAAACTAGTACAACTTCTGTGGAAAGCAATATGGAGATACCTCAAGAGCTCAATTAGAACTACCATTTGATCAAGCAATCCCATTACTGGACATCAACCCAAAAGAACAAAAGACATTCTATAAAAAAGACATCTGCACTCGAATGTTCATAGCAGCACAATTTACAGTTGCGAAGATGTGGAAACAACCCAAGTGCCCATAAATACATGAATGGATTAATAAAATGTGGTATATGTATACCATGGAGTTCTACTCAGCCACAGAAAAACAATGGTGATCTAGCACCTCTTGTCATATCCTGGATAGAGCTGGAACCCATTCTACTAAGTGAAGTACCATAAGAATGGGAAAACAAGCACCATGTGTATTCACCATCAAATTGGTATTAACTGGTCAACACTTAAGTGCACATATAGTAATAACATTCACTGGGTGTTGGGCAGGTGGGAGTGGGCAGGGGGATGGGTATATACACACCGAATGGGTGCAGTGCAACACGGTCTGGGGGATGAACACGCTTGAACCTCTGACTCGGGTGGGGCAAAGGCAATATATGCAACTTAAACTTTTCTACCCCCATCATATGCTGAAAAATATTTTTAAAAATGTTGACCCTTTTGTTTCTCAGGGTTTGGTTTCTCTAAACTTCTGACAATAAAGGAGAAAAAACAAACTAGCCAAGATACTTAGTATTTTCAGCCGAGATTCCTGAGTGGACACATTGCTTAGGTCTCTCTGGTAGCACAGAATCTCCCCTGTGGACAGCCCTCCTCCTGAGAAGGCTTTGCAGAAGTCTCTAGACGTGAGAGTGGATCACCCTTTCACCTGGTGGCCAGTGTAGATCATTGGGCCAGCCCTCCCCCAACGTGCAACCTAGCAAACTAGGTTGGGTTAGTTTTTCTAACAGCTCAGGGATTTTCCTAATTTCTGTTTTACACTTGCCCATGTCAATGCAGCTTAAGAGTGTAGATGAAGATTTTCTGCTTCCATGTATAACACAGAGATCCTAAGGCTCATATCCAGTTTTAAATACAATTCACTAGGATATAATATTTTTAATCAGTTTTAATTGACTCCTGAACTGGTTCTCTTTGGTTGTAAACTCCAGAGAGCAGGGTGATTGCTGCTAGGCCCTGCTGTGGTGGAGATTTGGTGTCATCTTCAGGAACAGAGGATCTATTTCATCCCGAATCCTGGCAGAACTATAGGTCTTTAAATATTGTGCAGAGTTCAATTCCACCATCACCTCTTCACTTGGTCTGGGGTTAGAGAGATTTCCACTTTTTGTGACTCTGGGGTGCTAATCTGGAGTCACCAAGTCTGATACAGCACCCCCTAGCCCACATTCACAACTCTTTCTTGCACCACTTTCTCCCCAGCCAGGCTGTTGGGGGCCAAGTCCCTGATTAGTTCTCTGTATTTGTTCCCCTGCATGTATGGTAGGTGTGTTTTTAAGTTTATCAAATAATCCAGCCCCCTAAGGAAATGATGTTAGAGTGCCATGTTGTTGAGTAAATGCTGGCCTTCCTGAACTTCCCCAGGAGCTGTTACCTGTGGAAATTGGATTTGTCAATATAATCAGAATAACCTGTATCAAAAACAGAGAATTGTGAATTGTCCTAGTCTTTGAAAGGGAAAAGGAGAAGGACAAGGAAACTCATTTTGCTGAGCATCAACCATGAGCCAGATACAGTGCCAGGAACTTCAAATAGGTATTTTCATTAAATCCTCACATTAGTACTAGGGATATATGGTTGCAAATAGAGACTAGACTGAAAATAGAGACAAAATAGTGAGAAAAATGAATTTGTGCTTGAGACTCCAAACATGATAACTGGGTATTCGGATGGGCCTGATATTCCAGAGAGCTTAACATGTAGGCTGGGCCTGACTTAGACGTACGTCACAAACCTGACTTCAACCCTTGCAAGGAGAGAGCCTTGGCTACTTCTTTTAGAGATAAAGAATCGGATGAGGCTGCTGCAGGTATCTAAGATTCATGCCTGATTATTCATGGTCTAAAGGCCATTTCCTTTTCATCATGCTCCTCTGCTTCCTGACACTTTAATGGAGAAGGTGAGAATAAGATTGGAAAAGGATAACACGTACATTTTTTTCTGTTGTGTGATTAGTGGCCAAACATTCTATGAACTGAGGGAAAAAAAGAAATAAACTCATTTTCCAAGAGCTGAGGGATGTAGTATTATACATTAGACATGAAATGCCATAGGCAGCATCAGTTCTTTCCTTTGCTTCCCTAGATATATATTTTTCAAAGACCAGAAACCCTGAAAATAGGTTACACTGATGAATACTGTACTGACTTAGAAAAAACCTTGGACGTAATATTGTCCAGTTATAACAGGCAACTTTTAATGCTGTGTCTATGTTTACATAGGTGTAATGCTCTGTGCTAAGCATAATATGTATATGTCATTATAAGGCAAATAAACTGAAAGCCAGAGGGCTGGCTTTGCAATTAGATGGTACCAGGCTCATATACTATCTCAGGCACTTACTAACTCTGTGACTTCAGGCAATGTACTAATCTCTGTAAAATGAGGAAATGTCAGCTACTCTGTAGAATAGCTGGTAGGATGAAATGAGATGGTGTATGTTAAATGACTAGTGAAGAGCTTTCGGGGGTAATTCATGCATATTTTTTGCTTTTCATGTTGAGGATTTGGGCTGGATTGATAAATACCTTCTCCTCGAACTGTAGACTAGTGTAGTCTCGGGTTAGAATAATAAAGATAACAGCCATTCTAGCAGGTGTGATACCTCATTGTGGTTTTGATTTGCATTTCCCCAAAGATGTGGAGAAAAGGGATCCCTTACATATTATTGGTGGGAATGCAAATTGGTACAGCCATTTTACAAAACAGTATGGAGTTTCTCAAAAAATTGAAAATAGAGGTAGCATTTGCTATAGTAGCTCCACTTTTGGTTATATATCCAAAGGAAATGAAATCAGTATCTTGAGGAGACATCTGCACTCTCAAGTTGATTACAGCATTAGTCACAATAGCTAAGATTTGGAAACAATATGAGTGTCCATTGACAGATAAATGATAAAAATGATGTAGTATATATATTCCCAAATACAATGCTATTTCGGCCTTGAGGAAGAAGGAAATCTTGTCATTTGTGACAATGTAGATGAACCTGGAGGGCATTATATCAAGTGAAATAAGCCAGACACAGAAAGACAAATACTGCATGGCCTCATTTATATGTGCAATGTAAACAAGCTGGATTCATAGAAACAAAAAGTAGAAGGGTTTTCAGGATTGGGGAGTGATGTCGGGCCAAGGCTACAAGCTATCATTTATAGGATAAATAAGTTCTGGAGACTTACTGTACAGCATGGTGACTAAATTTCATAATAAGGTGTTGCATACTTGAAATTTACTAAGTAGCTCTTACATATATATTCTCACCACACCTGCAAAAAAAGGTAACTATGTATGGTGATGGATATGTTAATTAGCTCTGTTGTGGAAATCACTTCACCATGTATATGTATTTTAAAACATTGCATTATACACCTGGAATATATACAATTTTTATTTGTCAGTTATATTCCACAAAAGCTAACAAAAGAAAGAACGGAAAAGATATCAGGACAAAAAGCGAGGAATCAATACCCACATGATGGGGTGAGAGAGAAGCTACGTGCCCGGATGTTGCTGCCTTCTATAAAGCAAATTGATTCAATAAGCAACTTTAATTAAAGGAAAAAGGCTTTTTCTTTTCTTTTTTTTTTTTTTTCCCAGAGTAAAAGTCAGAGAGAACCTGTTTTCAAGAAAGGAGGGATAGGATATCAAGAAAGGAAGGAGAGGATATCTGGTTGGAAATAGAGGAGAGATGGAACAAAAAGAGACAAAAATGCAGGGAGAAAAAGAATTTGTGTCTCAGTGTCTGGAATGTGCCAGTTGCTCACTGGGAAGGGCGGATGTTGCAGAGAGAGTGTGCTGTGTAGGTCTGACACGCCCAGACCTTACTTCACAGGCGTGACATTAACCCTTGCCCCCCCGAAAACCCAGAATTTCATACCCACGTGTGCTCACAAGGCTCACCCTTCCTTCTCACGGTTCTGAGGACATCTGCATGAAAGCACCGGCTCTGCCTCCCGCAGCTTTATGACCACCTGAAGTCACAGGATAGCGGTAGCCATAGCAACACTTTCCCTATTGCTAAGCCAGGGTTACAAAGTCTCAGGTAGGAAAGGAGAGTGAACTAAAAGAAACCTAAAAAAATAAAAAAAAAAAATGACTTCAAAAGTAACCTCCCCTCAACTCCACACCCCACTAGATTATAAATCAGCAGCGAAGGAGAGAGATGAGCGAACAGTGATTTTCAAGCCTCTCTTGTGTTTCAGCACCAGAGATTGGGCTAGGAGCTTGCCTAAATTTTTAATGTAATTCTGAAAATAAACTAATAAGGCTGGTATAATGATTGACCTTGATCACTTAGGCATCAATAGAGGCGCCAAGTTGTTAGGTAACTTGCAAGTCTGGTAAGTGGTGAAGTTGGAATTTGTACCAGTTCTGCCGGATTCTTTCTGCACTGTAAAAGTTTGGCCTCCAGATTATGAGCATTTTTGCTATGATATTTTATTTCATTAACTGCCACTCCCCCATTCTGCAGTGAACCCCCCTGCCTCAGTGAGCCTTTCCTCTACCAGCTTCCTTCTCAGGACCCTGGTCTGAAAAGCTCAAGTTTCATGGCTATTGCGGCCCCACGCCCCAGAGGAATTCTAAGGCCCTTACTTTGTCCTGTAATGAATGTCTAAAGACAGCTTCATCCAACAACCACATTTAAAAAATGCAAGTCATTACTTACATATGAGAAAAAGAAATGGGGATTCAGAGGTTAAGACACAAGTTAAAAGTCAAGATGCCAGAGTTAAAATTATTGAATGTTAGCTTTTGGCTTAAACCTCAAAGAATTGATTGTACTGTGGAAGTCAGAAAAACCAAAAGAAACAAAAAATGGAAGTATATAGTGATCCCCCTTCTCTTGTCCCTGTTCACTATCAACATAGTCACTTTTAGTATCTGGTGAGCTCCAGAATGAAATTGTTCTATAAGGTGGGACTATAGGACATTTTACTCTTCTTTCTGTTAGCCTGTATTTCCTTAAGTATTCATGATCATTATATATTATTTTTATAATTGTAGAAAAAATTATAATTTAAAAGAACATAATGTTTAATTTTTGATAAAATAAAATGTGGTGCACGCATGACTGTGCAGATGTACATACCTGTACACACACACACACACACACACACACAGAAATTCTCAGCAAACCAGCCTCATGCATTGATCGCAGTTTAAATAGACAATAGAAAGGGCTCAACTGATACTTTCAATTAATTACCCCAGAGATCCTTATCAACATTGACCATACTGATGTGATTCAGTGGGATTTAGTTTTAGGACATGCAGACGTGAAGGGTGACTCTGGAACTTGACACACTCAAAATTTTCTTCCCTTGTGGGGCAGCTGAGATTTCTCTGTTCATCACTTTGCAACACCTGCTCCTATGCAGAACAAAGCTCGGGACTGATGGTACTTATGACTTCTAGGGCCATTGGGAGCTCCAATCAGGACATCATGTGCAATGTGTAGGTGATAATATCAAGATTTAGGAGAGGAAGAAAAAAATACGCTTAACAAACACTGCCTCCATTTACCATGGCTATGCTGCTCTGTGCTCTAAAGTCAAATTGTCAGAATATTAAGCACCGTTTCCCTATCATCATGAAACAAGAGGATGTGGCACCGATGGCACTTTGTCTATGCTTCAGACTTTCTGTTTAAGGAAATGTGCCTGAGCAGCCCACAGCGAAATCAGTCAGTCTTTCATGAGAAGCAACGAGAAGATATGGTCAGCTCTCCTCAGTTCTGCTTAGTGTCAGCAACTGTTTCTAACTTTGAGACTCTAACTTCTCAATGTTTCAGCCTTTCTCCTTCCATTCTCTGTGTTAGTCCATGTCATTCTTGTCCTGCCTCCTTATATTGGGAATGAGTATATTTATTTATTTCAGCTTTGTATAAGTAATACATATAATTTAAGGATAATTTTCTTCACCGTCAATAGTGAAATCAAGACCCCACATTACAAAACTTGAAGGCAGTTGATACTTATAAAAATAAAGAAAAGGTCTATGTTTCATAGATTTGTACAAGTTTCCTTCAAATCTCTGGGTTTTTTTAATCAAAAAAAGAGATCATAATGTCTATGTTACTCCTCATGATGTAATTGTAAAAAACTGTATTCCATTGACAAAAAATAGCTTTGCTTCCAAACAGCATGTCTTTAAATGAATGTATTTAAAAATAGAAGTCATAAGTATTGATTTACATAAAAAATATCTAAGCCTATTGCACATTTGCCATCATTGGCTCTGTTGGCTCCTCCATGGTTTCTTAGGTTTCTGCAACTCTAACTCTTTCTAAAACTAGCAGAGCCCCATAATAACTACAAGTAGATGTCAGTGGTACTGTCATCCAGGGACTGTAGTGCCTACCTTTCCCAATCATGATCTTCTCTGACCACCTATGTCTTCTACTGCCCCTCCATACTGGGTATGAGGACCAATACCAGCTTTTTCTTTTTTTTTTTTTTACCTAAAGCAAATACCCTTCAGTGAATTTCTCCCCACTTCACAGTCTGTAGAAACAAAGAATATTAGGGAGAGTCTAGAAGGAACTATTTGGAGGTCAGGGGCCCACAGCTGGAATCCAGTCCCAGCGGCAAGACGAGGGGGAAAGAGAGTGCAGATTAGGAATCAGAGTGAAATGCAGATGCCTGGGCTCATCTGACATAGTGGGAACTTTGGGGACAACACACAGAGTACAATTGGTGTACACAGTAATGGCAGGTTCCAAGATCATCCTGCAATGCCTTTGGACCCCAGGCAGAATCACATAGCAACAATCAGACACGTCTCCTTCAAGGAACTTTTGGTGGTGTCCATTCATGGCACATCAGATTCTAATTCACCCTCTTAGCTTGCTTTGTGAAAATGGACCTGGGCCCTTTAAATAGTTTTTCCTTTGATAGCAAGCATAATGTTAAATTTTGATAGCAGAGGGTGCTTGAGAGACATTTCAGGGGAAAGAGATTTGCTGCTTGGTTCCAGCACGCTCCTGTGCAGATGCCTGTGGAGCATGTGGCTTCTCCAGGTCCAGCTCCTGCTGCTGCAGGACTTCTCTGCAAGCACCTGCATTTTCTTTAGTACCCGGGACGTGTGGTGCACGGCAGCCAGTCACACGTGGTAGCCAGCAGCTTCCTTCAACAGCATCCTCCAGAGGTTTTCTAACAGAGTGCCTCTGATGAGCTATCTCCCCTAGAACAGCTTTCTGACAAGTTCTAGAATTCCAGCAAGCCCTGGCAGTGTGTCCACACAGGAGCTTTCAGTGAACTATGGCTGTGCCTCCCTGACAAAGGAAGAAATACGACACTTTTTTCTTCTTTGCCACCTTCCCTTTTAAGAAAAAAGCCAGGTAGTTGCGTTCAGCCTTATTATTTAATTCAAAATTTAAATGAATTGAAATATATTAAAATTAATTCAATTTTTCTGTCTTGGGATCAAGACATGACATTTCCTTTTGGGGAAAAAAAATGGATGGGTGTAAAAGAATAGAGCATTCGAGCTAAAGGAAAGTTTTGAGATCATTTATTCCAATGACTTCATGTGGTATGGAGGAGCTAGAATGAGGTGGCTCGCACAAGGGCGCGTGGTGAATGGGGTCAAGCCCTCCGTGCTCATCACAGTGCTCTTTTGGGTAGTTGTGTAAATCCCCCAAGTGTTTCTGATACGCATCCAGGATTAAGAACCATAGGTCTAGATGGAAAAGTCAAACCATACAGAAATACAAATAAGAGGGTATTATCAAAGGATTTCCATGAATCTCATTTACTTCAAATCTAGTTTCCAACTATTTCTGGCTTAAAAAAATATATAATCCACCTTTCTTGAGCTTCACAGACCAGGAGATACCCTGTGGGAATAAGGCTGCAGTGACAGTAATAAACAGTATTCTTTGATAACTATTCTGTCATCAAAATCACTGAAACTCCAGCCCCCACACCCCTCTTTTCCATTCATGGGCTCCCAAGGTGACTGCTTGGCTCCTGGGGTCACTGGGACACCCATGTAACAGCCATGGGGGGACACCCATGTCCCCCACCACCATGGGTAGCATGTCCTTTCCCTGAGTTATAGAAAGGCTCACTGTAAGGCCTCTGGTCATTCTTCTTCTTGGCCCTAGCCGTGGCTTCCATATGGCTTTCTGGTTCAAGCACATTGGTATGTTCCTAGCAGGTCTTGATTCTACTATATGTGCTTCTCTGGCTGTTAAGTTCATTCATTTGGAAATTCATTCCCAAGCTTCTAAAACACAGTGTATCATTTTATTCTATGCCCTGTGTGTCACTGGTCCAGAATTTTAAATTTAAATTTTAGTAAAATATTAAAGGTTATTTTGGGTTGACATGTGGTGGATAATATTTTGCTAGGCCAAGTTAAGATGTTAAGAAAGAAACACTATTTGTTATTACTATCTTTCCATAAAAGAAAGAATATTTGAACTCCAGAATATAGAAAGGATGGGATAGTTAAATAAATATCCATTTAAATTTAACAAATTTTATTTTATAAAAAGTAAGTACCAATTATTTTTTTTCTCATTTTTAGGCAAATCCTTATGGGCTCTGGTCTGTGAAGTAGTGTTTGGGAGGCACTGCTATATATGTTTAGGAATCCATAGGGAATTTGGTTGGAAGATTATATATGTATGCCTATACTGTGGTGCTTTATGATCCACTCTGTTCTGATGCCCAGACAGTCGAGCTGGGGGTCTCTCATGAGCAAGAGAATTCCATACACTCCAGTCAGTATCAAGGATGGACAAGATTTCTCAATTTATTGGGACATGTTTTAATTTCATGTTTTGGTTGTAAGGAAAAGATCACCTGCATTTTATTCCCCAATAGAAGTTGTTGATTTTAAGTAAACAACTGAAACTGAAATTGACCTGGAAATCATAATCTTTGTTTATTTCATGGGCTCTCATTCAT